ATCCTTGTACCCCAGCGTCTTCCGCGTGCGTGGACATGGCGCTGACGACGGCCTCGATCGCTCCCGCCTGCATGGCCGGGAGCTTGTTCTGCTCGTGGCTCTCGGCTATCGCTGTCAGCACCTCGCATAGTCCTTGCTGTATCTTCGCGTTGCTCTGGTGCCTGGTCATGGCGCTGACGACGGCCTCGATCGCTTTCGCATCTCTCGCTGTGCCCTGGTATCGGAAGTGCTGCATTGTGTACTTCAGGGCCTCACACGCAGCATGCTGTACTTCCAAGTCGTTCGCATAACTTGACATGGCGCTGACGACGACCTCGATCGCTCCCGCCTCTCGTGCTCGCACCTGGCTCTCATCGCTGAAGCTGACAGTGTAGTCCAGGGCCCAGCACGCAGCCTGCTGTACGCCCGCGTCGTTCGCGTGCGTGGTCATGGCGCTGACGACGGCCTCGATCGCTCCCGCCTCCCGCGCCTGCGCCTGGCTCTCGTCCCTGAAGCTGACAGTGTTCTTCAGAGCCTCGCACGCAGCCTGCTGTACGCCAGCGTCGTCTGCGTGCCTGGTCATGGCGCTGACGACGGCCTCGATCGCTCCCGCCTCTCGAGCCCGCGCCTGGCTCTCTTTGATGCGACTGACGGTATGTCTCAAGGCCCAGCACGCAGCCTGCTGTACGCCAGCGTCGTCCGCGTGCATGGACATGGCGCTGACGACGGCCTCGATCGCTCCCGCCTCTCGCGCCTTGACCTTGTCAGCCTCCCCGTTCTGAGCCATGCTGACCAAGGCTTCGCACGCAGCCTGCTGTACCTCCGCGAGAGCCTCGTACGTCCTCATCTCCTGCAACACCGCCTCTATGCTGTCGTCAGCTCCCGTCCTCAGCAGCCTCCATGCCTCCCTTGCCGGCTGCTCCGTCCCGCTTCCGTCTTGTGCCCCTAGCGCTGCCGACGCCCTGACCGGCAGCGCCTTCGCTCCCGTCCTCAGCGAGCTGAGAGCGTCGCTGCCCGTGGACTCCAAGGCGGTGCAAGCTGACTCTTGCAGCTCCACGAGCTCTCCGTACTTGCGCTTCCTGACTCTCCTCGCCACCGCCTCGATCCCTCCCCCCGCTGCCTCTCCGATCCTTCTCCATGCAGCTTCTGCCATGCTGCGTATGCCTCGGCATAGCGACTGGTTGCCGGCCCCTGCCCGCCGCTGTCCAGGCGTCCTGTCTGACCATGTCCATGCAGCAGCCCCCTCACCCCCCTCCGCTCCGGCTCTTCCTACAGCTACCGCAAGCTCGGCGAACCTCGGGCGGTCCTCCTCCCTCGTCGCCCAGCAGCTCTCCAGCAGGGCCCACAACCCGTCCGGGCATCCTCCGAGGAGGTGCTCTCGAGGCAGCCTCCCACCCCCGCACACATACCCGATCACAGTCGGGTCCGTCATGGGGTAGTAGGGGGTCATGCCCGAGGTCAGGATCTCCCAGCACGTGACCCCGTAGGCCCACACGTCGCTCTTCTCCGAGCACCGGCCTCTCTGCATCGACTCTGGGGGCATGTAGCGCACCGGCAGCGCTCGCCCCGCTACCCTCCCGTCACTCCCGTCCACCAGCTCCCCTGCCCGCCCGTACCCCGCCACCTTCACCGACGTCCTCCCCACGTCCTCCTTGTCGAAGCCCATGACCAGCACGTGCCGAGCCGCGAGGTCCCGGTGCACGACCCGCTGCTCAGCCAGGTGCTCCATGCCCTGCGCGATCTGCTCCATCATCGCCGTCTGGTGCCCTCGCGTCACCTGCCCCGCCAGCCTCCCCAGCAGAGCCTCCCTCAGCGACCCCAGCTCGGCGAGCTCGGTCAGCAGCAGGGGACAGCCGTCGCGTCGTGGCTCTGCCCCATGTAGCGTACAAGCCGAGGATGCGGCCCGAGTCTGAGCATGACCGCGGCTTGTCTGCCGCCGT